AAAAAACTCAAAAAAAAAAAATCAACACTTAACCCTTATCAATGGCTGATAAAACCAAAAAAAACTCAGCCTTTATCTTTGCATACATAAGCAACACACCACTAATGTCGAACCCGATCGATCCCTCCCGACTCGTGGTTCAATCAAGAAGTTTCTAGAACTTTTTCCCGACCCTCCCGACTCGAGGTTCAATCGAGAGGTTTCTAGCATTTTTCACCGAACCCTTGTACGTTTTTTTTTTCGAATCGATCACTCCTCGACGAATATTCTCCCTACGAATTCACGGAACCTTCTCGAGTAGAGTTTCGGATCGACGGCCGAGATGGAAGTGGGGTCCGCGTGCAAGGACTTGTACGCGTGCTCGATTTTCTTGGTGATGTCGTAGTCTTGCAAGATGTCGATAATCCCAAAGTAAAGGACAACTTCGTGAGTTTCTCCAGTAATCGAGTGGCTAAAACCGGAATGAGTGTACCGGTCGAAATCGCTCTTTCGGGCCACACGTTGGGCCCGCGCAGGCATGTTGGCACCTAGCCTTATCAATGGTTTCCTGAAAATAGTAAGGATAATTGTGTCATTTCAAAATTTCGAGAAATGATTTTTTAGTAAGGGTAATTGTGTCATTTCACAAGGCAAATTGCCTACTATTTCGTACTTCGCTAATATCTGCTACTTGGCTATAAAACCAAGGGACGGTAAAGAATAAGCGTATAACAATTCAGAATTCAAGCAAAAGTCACAAACATAAAAATTGAACCTTATTGAAAAACAGTTTAAATCTAACATTTCTACATCTCTCCTTGCAAGTGATTGACAAATATTGGAAGAGAAGAAGAAATTTAATTTTTTTAATTAGACTTTTTATCCAGAAATATAAGACCATGCTATATATACTTATGCAACAAACCCCATCCATCATTATTAGGCCACCATGAATTATTCAACTATCATTTTTAATTCATTACAAAAATAAATAAATAAATAATAATTCATACCTGCCAGATAAAACCCGGTCCATGTCTTGTAATTCGGCTTCAAGAAAACGAAACCCACGCATGAATTTTTCGTTTTGGTACGAATCGCCTTTGCCTGAGAAGAAGCAAAAGTTACACACAACGATCAAAACCCTCGAGTCTCAAGGATAAATCAATACAAATTGTGAAGTTAGTGACACTAAATTTTTTTTACCTGAACGCAGCACAAAAGGCGATAAACCGATTTTATCCCGAGCATTATCATCACGAAAATGAAGGCCAACCAAGAGACTATAATCCATGATCCGTTCTCTCTCGAGAAATTCACAATCGCGATGAATTTGCCTGCAAAACACGACGATTTCAAAGAGAATTAGGGAAAAAATGCTCACATGACAAAAAAAAGGTAAATATAATTAAAAAAAAAAATACTAACTTCATGAGTTCTTGATACCAATTGGTCTGCAAACGGAACGTATAGTTTAAGTCGAGGTCCTTTAGAGTTGTGGTTTCATCAATCTCCCCCTTAGTTTTATTAATCGTTCGGCCGTGTGATGATCCTTTCAGATCAAATCTTCGATTAATTCGATACTCGGAGCAGAACAAATTTCCCATCACAATGAACCGTGTCTAAATTCGCAAAAAAAAAAAGAATATATTACATTATCAGCCATACTGAAGACACGATGTACATAATATAACTAGTAAACTTAACCGTAATAATTTAATTTAACTGTACCTTAACGCCACCGACTGGCTTCACACAGTGGACTCCGTAAAATTTTGTGACGAGCGAATTTTCATAACGAGAGACATGTTGATAGTAACTAGGAAGCATCTTGATAAGCACCTGAAGAAAAGAAAACAAATAATCATACTTCGATTTTTTACGAACAGAATAAGAATTGTTTTTAAAAGGCATATCAATGGTAGAAAACAGCTAACAACAAACCTTCACTTCAGATTTCTTAACAGTCTTTATCATAAATCGATCGTCTTGTGTCAAGTAAAAGAAACTTCCGCTCTTCCCGGGAGAAGAAAGTTCTCTCAGGGCATCATTTCCACAAATGGCTAACATGTAATCTGCTTGATCAACTTGAAATAGCTCCCTTAAATGCCTTTGTAAACAAACCCAAGCAAACATATTTCAATATTTTAGTTTAGCTAGTCCATAAGCATTCATGATTTACAGAACACCCAAAAAGCCAATGAATTACCAACAAAGCTAGCAACTTTAAATAACAACTCATCACACCATTTTAGCAAGAATAGCACTTTTTTTTTTACCTAAAGACGATCGGACAATAATCCTTCCACCGAAACTCGGGCAGCTGATGTGGCGGCGTGATTTTAGATCCTCCGGCCGGAAATTTCGTCCAAAACTTCTCCATTGGATCAAAATCAGTCATCTTGAGATCTCGCGAAATCGAAGCATGCTTTCCCACAGTATACCTAAAGCAAATTATATTAAAAATCACATAAACTCGAAAAACACAATGGGCTTTTTCACACGTTCAACTTTTGACCGTACCTAATGCCCATCTGAAGGTTGAGCATCAGATCATAATTCTTATGCCCTTTCACAATCGTTTTCCCCGGTTTTTTAACGTCACCGCCATTTAAACAGCCGGGGTTCCTTCTAAACTGCTTAATCCCATCACGACTCAAAACCGAGCCATTTGTATACAACAATGAGGCCTCCAAATTATCGATTATATCGCACGTTATATCCCCAGCCTCCCCATCAGAGTCCCAAATGCAAATCCTCGGAAAAAAACCCTTCCCATTAACAGCCCCATCGGCCGGTATCCACTTACTGTTCATCACCGGATTCAGACTCTCCTCCTCCACCACAATCGCCGGAGTCAACATTTTCCGGCAGACATTCCCAGTTTTTGAGCTGTGGGCAGGGTAAAAGGTCCCATTCAGAATTTGCTGCCCTTTGTTGCCGTTTTTACACGGCTCGTTCGACCAGCAGCCGATGTAGCAGCTCCCGTCCGGCCAGGTGAAGACCCCATGGCCCTTAGGGGACCCACAGTCCCAATCACCGTCGTACCGATTTTTGTTGTGCCAGATAAGGACACCTCTGCCGTGAATTGACCCGTTCTTCCACTCGCCGATGTACTCGTTTCCATTTCTCCAAAGGTATCTTCCCTGGCCGTCCTGGAGATTCCTCTTCCAGTGGCCCTCGTAGTAATCCCCATTGCTGTAGTGCTTCACGCCGTAGCCGTGCTTGCGATCGCCGGACCACGAGCCGCTGTACACGTCGCCTTCCGGCCCGACGAAGGTGCCGGAGCCCTCCATCCGGCCCGACCGAAACTCGCCCTCATAGGTCGCACCCGAAGGCCAGGAGAACTTCCCCCGACCGTTCGCCTTACCCTTCTTCCACTCGCCCTCGTACGAACACCCGTCGCGCCACAGATACTTGCCGGATCCGTGGGGGGCGTTGCCGGAGAAGGTCCCGATGTACAGATCTCCGTTGGGGAGGTGCTTCTCGAGGACGCTGTTGGGGGAGCCGACGTTGGAGACTGAGGCAGGCGTTACCCTGCGGCTCGCCGCGTGGGATTTGCTCCGGGAGGCGACGACTACCGATCTCGGCGTGGTGGCGGTAGTGGCAGCGGTGGCAGTGCAGTCGCCGACTTTCATTTTCGCTCTCCCTAAATATTCTTGGGAAAATAAAAGGGCTTTTTTCAGTAGATGGTCAAGCAAAATCAAGAATTCAAGATTGCTTTTTTATGCTTTCCTTGTACTCAGCTATGACGGAAAATCGAGTCACCATCTGGGAGCTCCGGCTCCGACAGCATTTTCCGGCTTACCCTTTTCCATGTAGTGAGAGAAGAAAGAAGCTTGCTTTCAGAACAGTTTGGAATCCTAAATGGTAACACCATAAAAGAGGATAACAGAAGAGGTAAGAAGCCTTGTAGAGAGAGAAATACGAAAGGGCAGGATGAATAATAAACAAACTTAAAATACAAAATAAAGTATAAAGAGCACAGAAGAAAAGATAGAAAACAGATGGAGGCGAGGAGAGAGAGATCTGAAGCGAGTGAGTGCGTGTAGTGTAGTGTAGTCGTTTGGCACCTATTGGATTAGAATTGCTTTAAAACGACTAGAATCGATATTCGAGCATCAAAATGAGAAGGAAAACGTGTAAATTTTCTGCCGGCATTGCATTATCATTATTTTGGGATGAGTTGAGTTCCAACTCATGATATAGTGTGAAACATAACGAAAACTATGGCTTTTTGGCATGCCTTGTATTAATATTATTTAAAATGAGTTAGAATCGAGTCGAGCTAGTACTTTTGAACTTGAACTTAGTACGGGTCGAACAGGCCTAGAATGGGCCCTCAACAAGCTCGAAACCTGCGTCAACGGACCTTGAATCGAGTTCGTTGTTTGATCGAGTCGGTTTCGTGCCACATGTTTGTAATTTTTGAACCGTCGTACCGATTTCGAACCGGAGCCAAAACCATACGGCCTTGTCTTCTTTATTTTTTTTATTGTTTTTTATTATTTTTACTTTTGTACGAGCCGGCCCCGGAACTGGTGGTTCAAGAATCGGCTTGGAGTGCCGATTCACTGAACCGACCCCGTATATGTTTTCTAGTCGGTTCAAGGCCTTCAAAACCGTTGCTCGAAACCGAATTTTAGTCATGTCTGTTACAATATGATTGTTTCGAATACACGGGAACCTATGAACTGGAACTTATGTTTACAGTCACTGTAAAAACGAAAATTGAAGTACAAGTTAATTTTCGACAGATTAAAGCCGAGACAATTGTAATCTTTTCGCAAGACAAATATGCTTCGTTTAGCGCTAACGGGTTTGCGCGGCTTGTCCCCAAAGATACAACGGCTGACGTCTCGAAGGTTGTAGCACATCGAGCTCCAACAAACTTGAACTGGATCGAGAATTTGAGCAGTATGTATATGCGTGAGAATATGAGAGTCAAGGATGCAGATGAGATGATAAGTGTTCTCTTGCAACTCAAAACATGTCTTATATATATGACTCTCAGCCAGCAATGGATGGCCTTTGGTCTTCAGCCACTTAAGGCATGAAACAACCAACTAATGGCTGTTGTAAATGGGCATAAAACGGTCAGGTGGAAAGTCTTTCATTTTCAAGTGTTAATAAACCATCAATCCACCTAATAATCACCGAAACGGTCTAGTGGAATGTCACATGTCCAAGTTCAATGTACCCAGAAGGTCTCACAAGGGTTAGGTCAAAATCCGAGTGAGAACCCAACTCTATTTGGATTTTATCTTGTGCTTCATAATTGTAAATAAATTTGCAGTAAAAAGATTATAGGAGTTGGGCCAAGCCCAAGACCGGCCTAGACCGACCAAGGCCACTCAAGTCCAGCTCACAATCCAATTGCCAAGTACCAAGGACCAAAGACCAAAACCTAAAGCCCAAGACCCATGACCCAAGACCCAGGCCGAGGCCCGAGCTCGATCATGTGCCCATGCTCGTGGCTAACTTTAATTATTCATTTCTCGTCACAGAAAATCAGTTTTTGAGAAAATAAATATACAACATGTATCTACTCGAAACATAAATTTTTTATACACAATTTAATTCAGCTCGAATTGAATATTGAGCCATTAAAAATTCAGTCAAAACCAAGTAAAACTCAAGTTTATAACTAATTTTTTCCAACAATGTCTACTTGAATTCATGCTATTGGAGCCTCTTTTAAATTAAGTCTCTTATGATTGGATTTTTTTTATTGATTTGATTTATTGGATAATGTGAGTTAATTTTTTATAAAGTGAACTGAGTAAAAATTTGATTGATAGTTTGTGTTCGCATTTAAATAATAATATAATATTTAAAATGTATAGTTAACGTGTATGTGTAAAAAAATATGACATATGTTATTGAAAATAAAAGTATGTAAAAATAGTTAATTAAAGTTGAAATGACATATGAAAATGACGATTCATATTATATATTTATATTAATAGTATTAAGAATAGTTAAATTGTATTAAAACTGAATAATATTTTATTAATTTAAAAGGCCAAAAAAAAATATATATTCGGTATGTAGTGATTCGGTCAAATATGCCCTTATCGGATGAGTCTGCAAACAGGGGAATATTGTCTCTGAATTTCCAATTCTTCGTGACGTGACGGCATTTTGCCCTTGGCGGTGAGGACAGGCACGACAGGTCACCTTCGTGGTTAACAAAAATGCCTCTCAATTTGGAATTTATTACGAAAATGCCATTAATATTTGTTTTTTTCGCCACACGCGTTGGATTTCACTAAGAGTGCAAACGAGTAGAGCCGAGTCGAACATTAGCCTTATCGAGCAGGATTGAATTTTTTTTAGTTGCTCGAGCTCGTCCAGCTCGATTTTTTAGGCTCGAGCTCGACTCGATAAGAAATTACAATAGCTCGAGCTCGGCTCGTGCTCGACTCGAAATCAAAATGCTTGAACTCGCTCTAGTTCGGCTCAAAAATTAGGTAAAATTACCATTAAGCACCTATGCTAATATATATATATATATATATATATATAATAAGGGGTATTTTAGTCATTAACGTATATCTGAAGCCGCTCGACAAAGCAAAATGTGGGCTCGAGCTCGTTTGCAGCCCTAGATTTAACAGTGAGAATATTATTCTTTTTTTATTATTCTCTTTAGATTAAATTTAGTGAGAATATTATTCTTTTTTTATTATTCTCTTTAGATTAAATTTGAATTTCAATTAACGGTGAAAAATAAAGTTTATGTAATTATATTTCCTTTTTAATGAATATATTCATATTTTAAAATTGGATAAATAAACACGTGATATATTATAGGCTAAATATGTAATTTTGTGTTCAACTCGTCCAGTAATATTGCGTTTGGCTAATTGTATGAATCAGTTACGTTGTCATATTATTACCTAATTAATTTGGTAGAGAAAAGATTGGTATGGTTTCAATTTCACTTTTTAATTTAAATATATATATATTTTTGGTATATTATGTTATAATTTTTTTAAATGATTACTTATGTAGCAATATTAATGAGTTAATTATTCATGTATGTAAAATTAAAAAATAAAAAAATTACATGAAACTTTTTCAACATTGACTTAATAATAAAGCTAGTGATTAGTTAGGTGCTGATTTGAAAAATGTTGGAATTATTTCAATTGGACTTACTTTGTAATGGGCACAACTTTGAAATAGCTCTAAATAAGGATAGCTCAATTTTTATCTGTCTACTCCCACAATATATTAAAAAATAAATATAAAAAATAGTGGTGTTTTTATTTCAAATAAAAAACAAATAAAATGAGGTGATTATCAATCCATTCGGATTTCAGTTGAATCGTCTCACCCAACATTAAAAACAAAACCAATTTGGAGAAAAGTGTTTGAGGTGGGTTAGTATTATAGGGCTACAAACGAGAGTCGAGTCGAGCATTGATCTTGTCGAGCAAGATTGATTTTTTGTTTATTGCTCGAGCTCGAGAGCAATTTATGATGCTTGAAATTGACTCGACAAAAGTAGACAATTGCTCGAGCTCGGATCGAGATCAATTAAAGTCAAAATGCTCGAAAAATTATTCGAGTTCGGCTCGAGTTCGACTTGAATATTCAAGTAAAATTATCATTAAGTGCATATATAATATATTGTAATATTTATATATAAAGAGTAATTTAGTAATTCAATACATATCTCGAGCCGTTCGCGTTCCAAAATCTATGCTCGAGATCGACTTGATAACATGCTTGAGCCGCTCGAGCTCGACTCAAGTTCGGTCAAACTTGAACTCGAGCTGAGCTTTTAGTCGAGCGCTCGCGGGCCTCGGTTCGTTTGCAGGTTGCAGCCCTAACTCGAATATAAACACTTTGCTGATTAGTTCAGTTAATGAGTTGATAATATTTTGTAAGTAAGATATCGAGATTAGTTCAGCCCGTGTTAAAGTGATAATTAATATGTTAAAGTGAACTTGAATATAATATATGAATGGAATAAATATTGTTTATTAAAAATAGTGATATATTAGAGACCTTAACTTCGGGCTAGTTCGATTTACAACATATTATAGAATCTATAATTTGTTGGAAAATATTGAATGAAACTTGTAACATAACATTAATTTTTTAACATCTTGCAAATTTATTTTGTAACTTGTTTCTTAATGTTGCAAGAGTTATAACCTTCACTTTATTAAATGCATAAGTTAATGAATGTGGATCATGCTTATGCTTGTATAAATAGCGGTGTCTTCCTTTGAGAAGAACACATAAGAAATATTCAAAAATAAACGAGTACTTAAAAGCTTTCCCCATTCTTTCTTTTAAGTGTTGTGGTCCAGGCATAGTTCCAGTTCGCCGGATTTGTTTCGGTTTTTCCGTTGTATCCTGGGAAACAGACGCTCATACGGGGCGAATCTGTTTTAAGGACACTGTGTTCTCACAGACCTCGGTATTATATATTTAAGCCATCTTATATTTATTTTCCCGTTAAAATTCCCTACAATTTTAAAACAGATTCCGATTAAAGATGGTTGCTGAACAAAATACTATTGGCGTTGCTAATACCGGTGGTGCTACTACAATTTCTATTTCTCCTTCTGTTCCGGTAAATCATGCTGATAAACCGGAAAAATTTAATGGCTTGAATTTC